AATTCTCAAATTCAGTGCCATGATCGGATCTAAGGTGTATCAGTTGATGACCTGTGGACTTTTGAATTCTCCTGGAAAATGTAACAAACTCGTCAAAAGTCTCATCCTTACTAGACATAAAAATAACCCATGTAAATCTAGAATAATCATCAACAATTACTAAGACGTACTTCTTTCCACTTCTACTTTGAATTCTCATAGGACCACATAAATCCATATGAATTAACTCTAAGGTTTCGTGGAACTCACCATCTTCTTGGATTTAAAGGATGTCCTGACGTGCTTTCCTTTCACACAAGCGTCACAAATTTTGTCACATAGGAACTTGATTGAAGGAAGTCCCTCTACCAAGTTCCTTGTTCTTAACTTATCAATCAAAGAGAAACTTGCATGACCAAAACGTTTATGCCACAGTAAAGGATCATCCTCAATGACACTGAGGCAAGTTAAGTTGTTCCTCGGAACTGTATTGAGATTCACTGTATAAGTGTTTCCTTTCCGAGTTCCTTCCAGCAAAACTTTCCCAGTGTCATTCTGAATGATGCTACATTTTTCAGAATCAAAACTTACAGAGTTTCCTTTATCACAAAATTGTGATATGCTTAATAAGCTGTGTTTGAGGCCCTCGACTAAAAAAACATTATCAATAGCTTGGGAACTTGACCTTCCAACTTTTCCTACGGCAACAATGCTGCCTTTCTTGTTATCACCAAAGGTCACTGTTCCTCCTGTATAGGCCGTCAGTGAGAGAAATCTTGATTTATCTCCTGTCATGTGCTTGGAACAACCACTATCGAGGTACCATTGGTTGTTCCCCCTCACTACGACCTGCAAAAGAAACTAAGGGTTAGATTCAGGAACCCCATCTTTCATGGGTTCTTGCGTTGACACAGTAGACTCAACTTTCTTTTGCCATACATAGTTCATGTTTTTAGCAGACTTGAGTTCCTTCCTTTTACATTCAGTGTCTTTGTGTCCTGACTTGCCACAGAAGGAACACACAGTCTCACTAGGGAGTTCCACGTACTTTTTCTTTTTACCACTGTTCTTCTTTTTGTGGTTGAAACCCAAACCCTCTGTCCTTCTGGTTTGAGCTTCAGATATCCACTTTGGAACTCCCATGTGGATTGCACTTTTGTTGTTTCTAGCTCTTTCTAAATCCTTTTCAAGGGATTCATTTTTGTCTTTAGTAACCTGCAATTCTTTTTTCAAATTTTCAAGATCATCATTAAAGGTTACTAAAGGCAATTGAAGAGCATTATTAGAATCAATGTTAGTGCATAACAATTTATACTGAGTCAATTCAACATTTAACATGATATTTTCATTTTTGACTCTTTCCAATGTTTCCTTTAGCATAGAGTTTCTATCTAGCAAATCAAAGAATCTTCCCTGAACATCTGTTCTTGAACTATTCAAATATTTTCATATGATCCTTATAGATTTCTAGAGCTTTTTCATTTTGTCCAAGTTTAAGACATATTTCTTTATATTCATCCAAAGTTTCTATGAGCAAAGAAATTAATTTGTCTTTTGACAGGGATTTCAGAAATTTAGGTTCGAGATTTACCTCCTCTGACTTTTTAGCAGACTCACTGCAAACACAGGTTTGCCGTCTCTTCTTCCGTGGATTCTTATTCATCCTCGGAACTTGTGTCTCCCCACGCAGCTATCATGGCTTTCCTGTAATCAGATTTTGAAAAGTTTGGAGTATTAGATTTTCCGTGCTCCTTCATTTTGCCTTTTCCTTTTTCTGATTCCAGAGAGGGCATTCCTTGATGAAGTGATCTGTGTTCCCACATTTGTGGCATCCTCCAGTTTCCTTGGAATATTGGTTTTTCTTGAAATTCCTTTTCTTTTGGTCACCAAACCTTTTGTTGCGGTACAACTTTTTTAGCTTCCTGACTAGCATGGCAGCTTCTTCCTCTCCAGATTCGGAATCCTCTTCACTTGGTTGGACAACCTTTAGAGCAATTCCTCGGCTCTTTGAACTTTCTTGGCTTTTGTTTGATAGGTGAAGCTCATGAGTTATTAAGGAACCTGCAATTTGTTCAAGGTTGAAAGTTGTAAAGTCCTTTGATTCCTGCAAAGCTGCCACTTTGGATCTCTACCGTTCATCTTCAGGAAGACTCCTTAGAATTTTGCGTACCTGTTCATCCATAGGAATAACTCTACCAAGAGAAACTAATTCATTAGTAATATTTTTAAAACGAGTAAACATTTCTTGAATAGTTTCTTTTGAACCCATTTCAAAACGTTCATATTTTGAAAGCAGTATATCTATTTTAGAACGTTTTACTTCATGAGTTCCTTCGTGGGTTATTTCTAGCAAATCCCAAATTTCTTTAGCAGTTTTGCATCCCATGACTCGGGTATGCTCATCTGGTCCTAATCCCCAAACTAGGAGTTTTTTAGCAGTAGCATTAATCTCCTTCTTTTCAAAGTCGCTTCTATCGTATTCAGAAATAGGTTTAGGAATTACCTCGTTTTCTGCATTGGTCTTTGTTACCTCGTAATCTCCTACTTCGATAGCTCGCCAGACTTGATAATTCCCGGACTGTATGAACATCTCCATCCTTGTTTTCCAATAGGCGTAGTGCTTCCCATTGAAGAGTGGAGGTCTTTGTGTAGAATAACCTTCAGCTAGTCTCTCGTCCTTAGACATTGTTCCTCCAGGAACTTGACTCGACAGGACTTCCTGCTTTTCCGAGTTCCTTGCTCTGATACCAATTGATAGAACAATGTATACTACAAGAGGGGGGGTGAATTGTAGTGTATGTAGACTATGGTAAATTTTGCGGAATTAAATCTACTACTAAGAGAAAAGACACTGAGATAGGCAATGAATAAATTCACTATATAAAAATGATTTACAATCACTAATACGTTGCCTAGACTCAAGTTCCGTGAGGAACTCAAGTTACCCAACTGTGCCCTTAATCACAGTTTCTCACACTTTGTGATTCTACTCCGAATCACTTGTACAGTGTAAACAACTCTCTCAAGTCTCACACTTTACAACTCTCACAACCCAAACCCAATTACACAATGATTACAAGTATTTCCTAAAGAACTTAAGAGACTAAGGATGGAAGGAACATCTCTTTTAAACACTTTGAAACTCTATGCTCAGAATACTTAAGATTGTTTTTCCACACTTTCAAAAAGCCACGTTGATCTATTTTTATAAGGAGTTAAACCAAGCTTCCATCAAGTTCCCACTTCCCCCTTAATCCCACGTTCTCTTTGACTGAGAAGTTGGGATGTAGGCAGAGGAAATTTAGGAACATGATTTCCCTAGCTTGACTCCTAAATTCAACATGCTCCTTAATTTAAGCAGCCAATATTTACCAAGTTAAAAATCAGTTAAAGACTTATTCAAAAGATAATTATTATTTATTAAAAAAAGATAATTATTTATTTATTAATTAAAACATAAATAATTAATTAATTTAAGACTTATCTTTTTAAATTATTGAATTATTTATTTATTTATAAAATCTTTTTAAATCTTTTTCAAAACTGATTTTTATCACTTCCTTAAATTAAGGGTTTTTGAAAACCGTTTTAAAACTTTCGTTTAAAACTTTCTGAGTCATTCGTCAAGTTCCTTCAGGAACTTCAGGTTCCTTCAGGAACTTCGAGTTTCTTCTTAATTCCTTCCAACACTTTTGTTTCTTAATCTCGTACATTGAGTAACTAAGAATATAGAGTTGTGAGGACATCTTGAAAGCTTGCATTCATCATCAAGTCTTCCAAACTTTGTTGTTCCTACTCCGGAACATATTACTTCAAACTTGAATCTTCTGTATTAACCAAGACTCATAAACGTCGTTAGTCAAAGTTTGTTTTATGTAAGTCAATCATCAAAATATAAGGTGGTCAATTCAACACTCCTTGTCCATATAAGACCTCTTCTGAAGTACAAAGTAGCGGTATTAGAGCAGAAAGCACATTTGCATATCCCTTTATACATAAGCCTTGAATTACCTTTCTTCTCTCAAACTAATTATTGTACTGTATTGCTAATTCCTGATTTCCTGGCACCAAAAGAAGTGGGGATAACATAATTCTATAAGCTCCAATTTTGCATCCTACATGAGAGTATGAGACGAATTAACTCAAAAACTGCTCATTCTGTGTTTATTGCTTTGTTGTCAAAGAAATTATCTGTGTACCAATTATGTAGGCATCTGAAAATCGGATGTTGCTGTGAATTGGAGACTGTTTGTATGCTGTTATATTGTAGTGTGTGGTTTTGTTTTGTTTGTTTTTGGTAGGAGCTCTTTAATTATGTATGGCTTGATTTTTGTATGTTGTGTGAGCTGTAATGGGAAGTTATCGTTTAAAGTTGAGAACGGATAATTGCGTTTATTCATCTGTTGATCTACTCATCTACACTCAGAGTAACATCTTTAATGCACTTTGGTTGTCAGTCTAAACATGAACCAGTAGTCACGTTCAACCAAGTTTAACTGGGATCGTTTTGTGTTTTATTGGTAATCTTGATCCCAATAATTGAATCTGACAAAATAATATTTTATGTAATCGAGGGACGCGATAATTTTCTGTTATTAGATTAAGCCATTTGGATTAGAAATTTTAGGTGTGGGAGTTAATGATGAGCTTTTCCGGTGTCGGGTTTTAGAGTCTTAATGGGAGCTTTAGTGCTTGTAAATAGTAATATGATTGCTGCTGTCGCACTGAAGGTTGTCATGTACTTAACTTATAATTTAGCACAGTTGATCAATATCTGTTCAGTAGCTATTTGGTTTCGTTTCAAATAAATTTTTTAACTTTGAGCTGGTGCAACTGACTTCCTTTCGAGTTTCGAATAAGGCACTTTATCTTCAGGTGCTAAAAAACTGATAATTTTTTTTTTTTATTATTATTTTTTTTTTTTCCAAGGAAATTTAAGTGTACAAAAGTTCATTAGGTCTTCTATACATTTCTGTGCAGGTACATGAGCTGTAAGACTGACATTCTTCATTTATTTGTAGGTCTGCATAAATAATGAAAACACGCTGCTGAAAAGAAGATGTTTGACTGCTCGTTGAAGAAAAATCTGATTTTGGACCTTTGCTATTGCTGAATAAATTGAACAAATATACAGGAGCTGACTCAAAGACTATCTTAGGCATCAATCGGTTTCTAAGTTGAGTATAAATAAATAACGAAAATATGCCACATGCCACAGGCAATACAGGCTATAACAATCTCATTTAGGAACATACTTCATCTCACATCTAATTATTTTCATGCATGACCCTCTGATATTCAGAAATGCTCACTCAACCCCAGGTGTGCACGTATGAAAATGTTGAGGAATCATGAATTCCCAGAATCCTTAATTGCTTGTGTTGTCAGAGCTAATTGCAGATTATGAGAGTAGAATTGTCAAGAAACCGAGAAACATGTAGTTGGAGAGTGAGGAGTGGGGAATGATCACAAGGAATGCAGAAAGCCAGGATAAACCATTACTCTCACACGGTCACACCGAACACTCCCCCCCCCCCTCCCCTCTCGCCACCACGGCACCACCTACCCACCCCGAGCACACACACACGTACTCCTTGATGATTGATGGTGTGTTTTGGGCCTTCTGGCAAATGGTTCACTAATCATATTGTAGGAACTGGAAAAACCAGCAATACCCCTCCCCTCTCGCCACCACCCACCCACCTCGTGCGCACACACACATATACCCCTTGATGATTGATGGTGTGTTTTGGGCCTTTTGGCAAATTGTTCACAAATCATATTATAGGAACTGGAAAAATAAACAATATTGTCAGGAATGGGATTGGAACCCATGCCCTTTCGGACCAGTACCTGAAACTGGCGCCTTAGACCAACTCTTGATGCTATTACATGGGTTATTCCGTATCATATTTAACTCGCAGGTCTGGCACTAATAAAATAATATTCATATGCTTAACATACCCAAAAGTCCCTTTTGTTTTCATAAATCTTCGTATATCATATACCATATACCTTTTCTTCAAAAAAAAAAAAAAAAAAATTACCATATACCTTAAGCTATTATACAGCTAAAATTTTCACCAATCAAATACTTAGAAAGAGGGAAAACATTAATTGGTGGGAAGTGAAAATTTAGTTTTGAAAGTTGATGTAACCTCTTCGTCATAAACTCGAAATCAACAGAAGAAGAAAGTGAGAGCATTGATTAATGAAAATTGTGTTTTGATCCTGGAAAGAAGAGAAATTTAGGGCTAGATAATTCGGGCTGAGTTTACCCACTGTAGGGTCGGGTTTTAACCCGATTACACAACTCTTCTTACCTTCAATTTAAAAAATAAATAAAAACTAATTTTTGGCCCGGGCAATGCCCATGGGTTATAATATGTATATTGAACATGAACTTTTATAATGAAAATTATGTGATGAAATATAAATATAGATTATATTAGTTACATTTACTTTAGTACTTGTATCACTTAAAATATGTTATTAAACATCAAGATATATTATCCAATATCTAAGTATCCTAACATTTAATTATTAGTTTACTTCGTTCTTCAATTAAATGTTATCTTCAAGTTCACGAATATGATTAACACTTTTTTACAGAACATTATAGACATATATATGATGGGTCATTAGAGTAGTGGTTGACGTTAAAGTATAATGAGTATGTGGTCATGAGTTCAAATATTAATGCTAACAATTCAGACTCATGTCTTTCCATTGAGTTTTAATGTATATAGATAGGTTGTGACTTTACCTTGACAAGCTAAAAGGCACACGCTACGCGTTGTACTGTATAAGAATTTTATTATTTTACTCATAATATTATAACTATATACTTTTTCAAAAATCATATTTACATAGAATTATAAATAACAAACCCATAAGTTAGTATAAAATAGGAAGAAAATAAGTAGAAATGTAGAATAAAACACCTATTAAATTATTTTCTGTTATGAAATATTTGTGGATATCCATTATCCTCCCTGTATCATTCCGGAATATTCTAGATCTAGGGTTTATTGTTATCTAAGCAAACCCTAGTTATATTGTATGTATATATATCCACATTCTATGGAATAATAAAACTGATCTATTCTCTCTTAATCTCTCATATTTTTTTTCCTTATTTTATAACACGTTATCAGCACCATTGCTCTTGGATCTGAAACAATATTATTGATTCATATGATCAAGAGCATTACTGCTTCTCAAAACTACCCAAACTCCAAAACAACTCTCCTCTCCTTCGACACCCTAACTCACTTTCACTCATAGATTAACAGTCCCGCAGTCCGTGACGGCGTGACGCGTAATCAGGTCGTGGCCTCCATGCTCCGTTCTCTGTGCTCAATCGATTAGTTTCTGGGTTTATCTGAGGTCAGAGTTCGACAATATTAAGTTTTGATTTTAAGCAATTTCTAGCATTACCCATTCTCTGTGCTGTTTAATTTGTTTGTTTTAAATTTATGATGTTGCCCTTTTGATTTTAACACCCACTTAATGTTGCTAGTTGCTCTTTAATTGTTGTTGTTTCATGTGTGAAATCGTTATTTTAATTGTTCAACTAGAGTGAAGTGTTGTTCTTGGCATATTGTGTTAGTTTTAGTCCGGAAATTCGAGCTAAGAAACGAGTGGTTGATTGATTATAGTTTATCTGAGGTGGAATATTTGTAAAGAATTGATAACGAAGTTTTGATCATTAATTTTTTTTTTGTTATAATATGGTACTCATCCAAGAATTTATTATATCCAAGAAGTTTTAATCATTAATGCTCTGTAATTTGCTTCGTCTTCTGCTTTCGTCTTTCTTCGCTTATCCTATGTCGCTGGTTTTGCGTTAATCGTCTTGCATAATTTGTGATTGGGATCGGGATCCTGTTTAATCCATTCAATTGGTTTGATGATTTTGGGGTTTTTGATCGTTTTCTTTGTTGATTGTTACTGCTTCTTTTGGATTGATCGGTCTAATATTTGCGGGATATTAGTAATGAGAAAATATTGTATGTTTTATTGGGAGTTTTTATACATTATCGAGAATAATACGGTTAACAAAAATTTTTTTTATAGAATTTTTTGAGAAGTGGATGTATCTTTACAGTGTATTAATTAATAAGCAAGCTTGTCATTGAAATGCTTTGAATCAATCATTGCGTGCAAAGACCTTATTGATACATTACTTTTTATAATCCGATTACATACGTATTTCCACAACTTACTTGTCCCAAAATAACGTTTTTGTTTTTTTTTTTAAGGTTTGTGTTTATTATGGTAAATTAAGGTTCATGTTTTGTTATGATAATTGATTAGTAGACTTAATTATGGTCTCATGAACAATAACCTTCTCAAAGTTCAATACGCAAATCTTGTTATAATTACTTGATTAGGGTATTTTGCTCCCACCAATCGGAATGCGCCACGTGGGCCAATCAGGTCCTGCCAAGTGTCCCCAGTTGGAACTGTCAGGGCTTGCCACGTGGCACACGCTTATTCGTCCACCCTGGACCTATTATGTCATGATACGTGGCATACCCCATGCCTAATGGAGAAACCGGCCACCCAGGCCCAACTTCCGAGGGGAGCCCAATCAGCCCAAGGTTAACCTAAACCTAGGATTGGCACGTTTCCCAAGGTTATAAATACCTCCCTTAATCCTCATTAAGGGGGATTACGCACATTAAACACTCTCACCTAGAGAGACCCAATCATTTTAATTTCCGCATTAATTACTCCTTAATCAAGTACTAACTTGACCGTCGGAGGAGAATCTCCGATCATCCGGAGCATCCGTTTGTTTTGTAGGTACAGGCGTCCGGTTCCAGTCTCGGAATTGTAACTCTCCCACAGGACATCAGAAAACCCCGAAACATTTTGGCGCCGTCTGTGGGGAGAGTACTTCTGAGATGGCATCCACGTCTGTACCGACTCCTGAAGAGAGGCGTCCCCTAGACGACCCTCAAGTTCAGTTGGACCACGATACTGAGAATGAATTTGAAGTTGAAGCTCACACAACTTCAGACGGGACCCTAAGGGCTCGACGCACCCGTCATACCGAAAGGAGGGAACGGGAACATCTTCAAACTGGACCCAGTGATCCAGCCGACGCACCGCCTGTTCAGCAGCAGCCGGCTGATGGGTCTGCTCCCATTACAAGAAACGAACTCATGACCTTCATGAGGGGCTTCAAGGGAGAGATTCAAGAGTTGCTCAACAAGAAGCCTGCTCTGGCCAAGGAGCAGTCGGCTAAGAAACCTTCCACTTCAGGGAAGAGGAAGCCATTTCAAGGGCGAGAGGCGACCCCTCATCCTAACTCTAGGAAGTGGGAGCCGCCCGCCCTTGATTTCACAAAGTACCGCTTTCCTACTCCAGGAAAGAGGAAACCTGTTCGTCATATTCAGGCGGACGGGTCGAAGAAAACATACACAGATGCTCGGTTATTGCTAGAACAGAAGAAGAATGACCGATTGTCAGAGTCGGCCTCTACTTCAAACTTCCAAGACAGTCTGCGCAATACCTCGATGAGGCATACTCAGTCGCATCATGAGAGTCAGTCAGGCGGTACCTCCTGTCAGTCCGGCTTTCATAGTGACCAGGTAGTACCAAACTTAACATTTGTACCGCAACAACAATATTTTTTGCAGCCACCTCTGTTTGGTGGGCATGCAGCAAAGAATGTCCAACCTATGGACTGGCAGCTACGGTTGCTTAGACTTGGGGAACAGCCGTCGGCCTTCTCCAAGGAAATTGCTGAAGCCGCTCAGCCGGCTAAAGTGAAAAATGTATTAGTAGGCGCCTATGACGGCACTACTAACCCAGAAGACCATTTGATGGCATTCACCAACCTGATGTACCTTCAAGGGTTGGATGATCCCACTTGGTGCAAGTGTTTCCCAGCGACTCTCAAAGGAATCGCACAACAATGGTTCGGCAACCTGCCAACTGGTTGTGTGAATAATTTCAGGACGCTTGCTTACTTATTCACCTCCAACTTTGCCATGAACATACCTGCGAAGAAGACGACTCTTGATTTAGGAACGATTCAGCAGGGCGAGAAGGAGGGGCTTCGTTCTTACATCAGGCGGTTTAACCTGATGAGAATACAGATTCAAGGGTTACCGGATGAGGTAGCCTATACTGACTTTTTCAGAGGCCTCAAAGACGGATCTTTGGTCCGAAAGAGGGTGGCGACTCTTCAAGAGGCCTTGATTGAAGCGGAAGCCTATATACAGGCGACTGATCTTTGTAGTACAAAACAGTCGGACGGGAAAAGGTTCGACAAAAAAGAAGGGCGACAGAAACAGTTGTCGAACAAAGATGAGAAGAAAAGAAAAGAGGTCTGGGCGGCTGATTCCTCTAAACAGCCGGCCCAGAAGAAGAAAAAGAATTTAAACCATACTCCCCAAAGTATGCGTTTAACAAGGATAGCCAAGCTACCCTAAAGGAAATCAAGGGACGAATCTCAATTGAGAAGCCGGTCCCCATGAAGGGTTCTGCAAGCAACCGGAACCAAGAAAAATTCTGTGATTACCATAAAGATGTTGGTCATCAAACCAACGAATGCATCAGTCTCATGCGGTATCTGGACCGCCTGGCTGAGCAGGGCGATCTTGACACTTATGTCAAGAAATCTACGGGGAACACTTCCTCGAAAAAGCAGTCGGCCAAAAAGAGTCAACAGGCCGACAGCTCTAATACAGATGATGCAGTCGTCTACACCATTGCAGGCGGCTTCGCAGGAGGCGGTCCCACTATTAGGGGCAACAAAGACAATATCAGGCGGCTAGATGTAAATTCCGTTCACCAAGAACGGCCCTCCAAATATTCATTTCCTGAGATTGTCATCACTGAAGAAGATCTAGGAGGGGTAAGGGGGCCGCATGACGACCCTATCGTTATTGAGTGTAAAGTGGCCAACCAGAAAGTTGGCCGAATCCTTATAGATACTGGAAGCTCCTCAGATCTTATCAGTAGCAAATGTCTGTCAAAATTAAAATATCAGACTGATTGCATACATCCGGCATCCCACCCTTTAGTAGGGTTTGGAGGAGGAGTCGTCCACCCGGTGGGACGAGTGGATTTACCCATCCGCCTGGGTGAAAAAGGGGAGGGACGACACATGGTAGTCCGGTTCCTGGTAGTAGAAGAACTCTCGGCCTACAACATGATTCTGGGACGACCAACCCTGAATAATTCCAAGGCTGTTATAATCCCATCTCTTATGTTGCTCAAGTTTGAGAGGGATAATGGAACAGTCGGGTCCCTAAGGGGAGATCAGAGGATGGCCCGAGAGTGCTATCTCTCGGATATCAAGCCCACTGTTATGACCGCTGGATCAAGTGGTGGA